GGGGGGGGGGGGGGGGGGGGGGGGGGGGGGTTCTTTTCCCTTCTTTTCTAATTAAATTATCCTTTTCCTTTGTTTATTCGTTCAATTGAAATTGTGGTAAAAATATCTTGGATGATTATCTTAGGTCATGTTCAAGCCATGTGAGGTTTAATGGAATTTTTGAATGGATACGCAAGGAGGAATCAACAAGCTACAAAATTTGAAATTTTGGAATCTGTTTAACTAAATTAGAATAAACATGCTGATTGCACTTTCATTTTCCTAATGAAAATAAGAAGTGACAAATTTCACTTAATGCGTTTGATAAGGACACTGTGATGTGCGTTAGTGGAGTACTTGAAAATTAGTTTAAAGAAAGAAAGTTGTTGAAAGTCATTAAAAGATTTTGAGCACTTCTCAACGTGCAGGTTAAAGCTGTGTACGTGAAGAACTTGCCGAAAGACACAACTCAAGATCAGCTTAAAGAGTTGTTTGAACATCATGGAAAAATTACAAAAGTGGTTCTTCCTCCTGCAAAACCAGGGCATGAAAAGAGTAGATATGGTTTTGTTCACTTTGCAGAAAGGTCCAGTGCCATGAAGGCTCTGAAGAACACCGAGAAATATGAGCTAAATGGTATTCCCGCTGTTTACTAATTTTAATGTCGCTAATGGGAGATGACACCTGTTTGCCTTATCCTGAGTTACAATTTTGACAGGACAAGTTCTGGAGTGCTCACTTGCAAAGCCACAGGCAGAGCAGAAGTCTTCTGGGGGACCAAATTCACAGAAGGCACCAATACTTCCAACTTACCCACCTCGTGTTGGATATGGCTTGGTTGGACCACCTCCCTATGGTGCTATTGGTGCAGGATATGCTGGCGCGAACTTTGCCCAAGTAAGATCCTTGCAATATTATGTTTTTTCTTACCCCTTCGCATTTGTTTATTTTGTATTTATCCCCTGTTTGATGGCCAATGGCAATCATTGATGGGCAGTCGAATGCCTAAATATCAGAGGATGTATTGTGTAAACAGATGACCCTGAAATAATATAACCTATAAAAGAGTTGGCATCCCAAGTTGTTGCGGAACATCTTAATATGCAATGGTCATCTTCTAGGAAAATTGCTTGCATCAAACAATGTGATATCGGAGCCAAAACATGTCATATTTACTTTTGCTACATTCATCAAAATGGTCTGAATAATTGTCTAACCTTCTAACGATGACGATAAAGCAATTATCTGTTTGACCTCCTGTTGATTGTACGTTGTCTTTGCAGCCACTAATATATGGAAGAGGAGCTACACCGGGCATGGCTATGATGCCAATGCTTTTACCCGATGGAAGGATTGGATATGTCCTGTAAGTGCAATTTTTTCAGATTTAGTGGTTGTGTGGGAGTGAAAAATGTTTTTTTTTTTATTTGGTGGAGAATGTATGATTGAAAATGAGTGTGGGGGAAATGATTTTGAAAAAATCGTTTTCAAACAAGCACTTAATGTTTACTTGCACTTTGATATATACGTTAATTCTGTGATCAACTTAAACCACACTATTTAATTTAGTTGAAACTGAGGCTGAATTCTTGGGGTTTTACATTCATTGTAATTGCTCGTGTTGTGCTATCCTTATTTGATATGCCAATCATTTGAAATTCTTTCTATTTTTCATTGTGATGTTTTCCTTAAAAATGATGCACTAGGAATGCCTTTTGTTAAAAAATGCACTTCCACCTTGATTTTAGCATGAATCTGAGTATGAATTGTTAAGGAGAATATTTTTCAGATTCTAGTTTATCCATGTTGGCAACATCATTTATTTGATTACCCGTGTATTGTGTTTGTGAATGGAATTAAATCGGGAGGAATGGAACGGAAGGACATGTTGGGATAATTATCGTCCGTTTGTCTTGGTTAGGATAGCTAGAAATATAATGAAAGCTAACGTGTGTACTTCGGAATGAAGGTTTTTGTTGAATTTCTTTGTTTTCAATCCTGTTCCTTGGTATCATTTCCTTCCCTCTCATCTATCCAAATTTGGGATCCTAGTCTATTTCTGCTTTTGGTTTCCTCCTCTCCCTTAATCCAGATACACAAAACATTGTAAATGCACTAAAGTAAGGGGCATCTCTGGAATTGATTAACTAAGACTAGCAGAGACATGTATCAACTGGCTACCTGCTTTTTAGGTCTTCTGCTTCATGTTACTGATGCCGAATGCTTTGCTTCTTCTTTAGACAACAGCAGGGAGTACAGCCACAAACACCGCCACCACAACACAGAGGTGGCCGCAGTGGTGGTGGAGGAAGTTCAAGTGGTGGAAGACGTGGCAGCAGTGATAATGGGCGTGGACGTAGTCGTTACAACCCATATTAATTCTGTATTGTCAGTGAACTGGTCTGGTGTGTTGTAACTTCCAGTTTTTATGTATTTTGACTGAAAATTATCATACTGAAAACGTTAACCCATGAAAATACTATTTATGCGTCTAGGCTTCTAGTTGTTCGTGATAACTGTTTTGGTCTTGGGAGCTGTCTGATTATGATGTACAAACATGCACAAGAAAACAAATGTCACACCGGATGTATTTGTTATGTATGAGGTCTGAGTTCAGCCTAGGTTGTTGAAAACGGCTTGTTTGGGGTTGATCTTTTAACTGAGAACAGCTCTGAAAACATTTATAATTACGAGACTTGCGCCATTGTCATCTAGATTTCTTTATATTGCACACTGTAATTATTTTTGCTTCATTACGGGGTAGAAGAGAATTTGATGAGAATAAGGTGACAATTCTCATTACCAGATGATAGGTTTGGGAAGTGTTAACAATTAAAATTATGAACTGATAAAATATTACACGTGGGTTTTAATAAAAAGTGATTTGATTTATTATAAACAATTTATAAATATAAGCCAAACATGGGTGTAACTAGGGGTGTAAGTGGTCCGATTTTACCGGTTTCTGACAGATTTTCAAATCAAACTGTTTAAACCGGTATGAGAAAAATTCAACCCTAAATCAAACCATTTTGAACAGTTTGGAAAAAACCCAAACCTAAATCTAACGGTTTGGTCCAGTTTTAAACCACCGGTTTCGTCGTATATTTTTTTGCATGTCTACTTTTATGTTATTAATTCATTGAATTCAATATATATTTATATCTTACCAACAATAAATCTAAAACAACTAAATATATGTACTATACATTTAAATACCAACTAAATTCAATTGAAATCATAATAATAGTCTTTTGTTAACCCTTTTTATACTAAGACGTTAGGACAACGTTACAATACAAGTCTAATAAAATAAATATAAGGCCCAAAATACATATAAACTAAATATTTATTTGAAAGCATATAGTTCCATAATACAGTTACTGGGACATCAATAAAGCAACACCTTAAATGATAAACTTTATACCTACTGGATCAAAATCCAAGACTTTAATAGGCTAACCGAATATATATCATCCTTATTAATTCAAGACACTTAAAGAAACANTGTCTACACAAGTAGAATAGAATCGTGTACATAGTAGATAAACCCTTTCCATCAAAGTAAATAAATTTATTTTACAATCATCCAATAGTTGAGAGAAATGCGAAACCCATATAATTTCAGATTTCTTACCTCAGTTTGCTAAAAAAAATTATTGATCTGAAACTTTATTCGTAGCAAATATTATCACCAAAAACCCAGGATCTCTATCTCCGATTTGGTGTGGTGCTGGAGCTCAAAGCTGTGTCGGTTGAAGTTCATCTGAATTCTGAAAAGGAAAAGGGCTTTTGATATATTAGGTTACTCTTGAGATTATTAGATATAAATTCGGATTATTGGGTACTAATAATATATATATATATAATAGAAAATTAGAAATTGATAAAAATATCACACATGGCAAAACTATTGAATTTTACATATTTGAATTTTTCAGAATTTTTTATTTTTTTTATTTTTATATATTTTTTCGCCGGTCCGATTTAGTTTTAAACTACAATTAAAATTCTCAAACCTAAACCTAAATCAAACCGTTTTTTACCGGTTTGGTTTGGTTACCCACAGTTTCTAAAATGCGGTTTCAGTTCGATTTTTCGATTTGACAATTTTTACTTACAGCCCTAGGTGTAACGAGGGGAATAAATGTCATTACGTACTACTAAGAGTATCTTCATTGTTAATGTGAATTACATAAAGTAAAATTATTTAGCACCAATAGTTTAGGTGGCACCTAAGTGTTATGAATTGATAGATTATCGTAAAGATTAAAAAATAAGTCATATTTAAGATGTTCTATAACTTACATGCCATATAAAATGGTCTTATAGTAACACCACAATTTTTATTCGTTGTACCAAAAGTTTTCAACCTTTGCTCATTGTGTCATTTATGTTTTTTCTTTACATTGAAAAAGAAAAATCTAAATAGAATCAGTTCGAAAAAATCCATTATGGTGGCGTCAAAGGATTGTCCCTCATATTTCTAAATAAGCAAAAAATAATATAAAAATTTCACAAGATATTTGCTACTCATTTCACGCTAACAGTATATTTTTATAGGAACCGTCAATAAGGACAACATGTGCAAATTAATATGATAGTAAGGATAGAAATGTGAATAAAAATGTTGGAGATACAATAATAAGCAAAAACCAAAAACATTTAATGCAAATAAAATATGATGCAAATACTCGAGTCAATATAACCAACCGATATGACTTCAAAGCTCAGCCACCATCCCCGTTGACTAACATTAATTGATAATATATAACAATTATGAATAAAATTGATAATCTAATGGAGATTTGAAAGTCACTTTTTAGAAACTAATTTTAAACTTGCCTTTTCGAACAGTAAGTTTAGTGATAGAAAAAGTAATTTGAAAATCTTTACAGGAAAGTTAAAAATGCTACTTCTGTTCTGCTTCTTCTGGCATATATATATGATTAATGATATGTAGAATTTGGGCGTTTATCATTCATTCCAAAACCTCAAATTGCCAATGGAATTTCAAAAACAAGACAACAAAAACCAAAAACAAATAAATGGGACAACAATGGAACAAATAATCAACATGGAGATGAAACAATGGCACGGGCACTACTCGATAGGGGACCTAAATCCATTTTAGAATCCCAGTTTTTGTAACAAAAGTCGCAAATTCATTCTTGACTAGTAAAATAATTGAAATCGATACAACTTCAAAATTTTTTGACCGCAACTACTCCAAGCATGTTAACGTACATAATTAACAACACATTGAACACTGAATCAATCCATTCTCATTGCATTCACTACATTTGACACTCTTCTTCTCTTCAACATCCAATACTTTACAGCTTCCATTGCACATCATGCACATCAAGAACCGGGCACCACCACATCTGCGACACTCGGCAGCTGCCTGGGGGATCCCGTTTAGCAAAATTTCCAATTTGCCCTCCTCATCCAATTTTACCATCTCATCAGCTCCACCAATCAACCTTCCCTTCACAAACACTGATGGTACTTTAACATCTTTTGTACCAATTAGACCTCTTAGTTCTTCCTTGAACCCCGCGTGCATCGATATATCACGCTCAAACAGTCGAACATCATGTGATTCGATGATTGATCGAGCCTTGTTACAATCCTCAAAGGTCTTCCTAATGCCCCTCAATGTGGTGGTGTATATGATAACTTCATTTTCACCACCTGGTGGGCATTTTTTGTCAAATGATTCAAGAATGGACTCTGAATCACGGAAACTCTTCCATTTTCGTGTAGTGAATGTCGGTGAAACCAGCTTCTTCACCTTTTCTTCCTCTTTAGACACGTCTTTTTTTAAAGATGCCACTAGTTCTGGATTAAATAGTGGGCCTAAACTCCTCCGCGATGAAACCACCACAGAATCAACCTTTGAACTGTTAGTTTTCGAAGCATTTGGACTCCCCTTAATCGAAGCCCACAACTTTGGTGAAGGTTTCCTTGAATTCTCCTTCAACTTATCGCATTCTTTCAAAACTGTTTTTGGGCTATTTTCTATTGAACCCATAACTCTTTCATTGTTCTCTTTTCCTCCAAGTTTCTTAAACTTTCTGGGAGAACCCATTTGATTCAAGATCTTTAAGGGGCTTCTTCCATCGAGAAAAAATCTTGATTTTGGGCTTTTCTTGGATCGAACAGAACCCGGACCTTCTTCTTCAAGCCCTTCCATAATCTCCCAAGCATTTATAATCTCCGAAGGCTCTTCACGAGGCGGTGATTCTTTCACTTCAACCACAGATTCTTTGATGCTCCCCAGCACTTCTTGTTTCTGATTTTCTTGAAATAGCTGATGAGTTTCTTTGTCAAGTTTGAGAACGCCATAGGTGCTTGAAGTGAGAGACACTACATGGTTTGCATAATCTCCATTTTCATGTAGATTTTCTCGCTTGATTTCTTTCCTTATCAGTTTTGATGAAACACAGCCCATTGAAGTTCCGGGGTTGGAGATGTGGTGGAGGTAATTTGTAAAACTCGATGGATTTCGTCTCTGTTATCAAAGGATTTTCAAAAGTTTTGACTGTTACTCTGAAAATGTACAATGGGCCCAACGGTCGGAAAATTCGAACGAGACATCAGTAAAATTTTGTAAGAAGCCCCTAATCTTTTGTTATTTGTAAAAGCCCCCGTAAACATTTATACTTTGAATTTTAGTCAATACGATGGAAAATATTAACTACGCAAAGGTTAGGATCACTGCTGCCTTATAAAATTAATTGGGGACAATATTGCAACTAAGTTTATGGTCCATGGATTAGAGACTCTAAGGGACACAAATTTTCCTAAATTTGCTAAGATCTTAGATCCCTTATAAATAGGACTTCTTTGAAAAGAGACATTAATTTTTCACTCGTATTCGTTGATTTGGAGAAAATGTTAATTACAACAATCGGATGAAGTTTCCAAGACTTTCTTTTAAAAAGCACATTAATATTTGACCTATCGAACATGTATGTATAGTAAATCAAATCATTCATATTTTGAGAAAGGGTTCGTCATGTTTGTTTTAGTTAATTACCAACAATCAAAATAAAGTATGTATAATAACTTTATTTATTGAGATCGCTGATAATCACTAGTCGAAGTGTCGTTATAGATAGATATGAGCTTGTTTGTGAGGGATTAAAATTGAAAATATAACCGTTAGAGTTGACTTTTATTAGACGAGTGAGACTCAATAACGACTATATTTTCAATTTTAATTGGATTTTAATCATTCTCAAACAAGCTCATGGATAGCTATTTTGTATACCTTTTGACTTCTAAGACGACTGTCATGTGATTAGTAAAATTGCATGCCAAACTTAGTAACCTTCATTGTGCAATCCACTTAATATATTTGCATAAATTTT